TTCAGGAATGTTTTTTTCTTTTTGTTTTTCTTGAAGATTTATTTACGTATTTGAAAGGGGGGAGGATGGGCAGGAGAGGCAGAAAGAGAGAGAGAAAGAGATCTTTCATCTGCTGGTTCACTCCACAAATGGTCACAATGGCCGGGCTGGTGGAAGCCAGAAGCCCAGAACTCCATCCGGGTCTCTCCGAGTGAGTAGCCGGGGTGGAAGTACATGAGCCGCCACCTGCTGCCTTCCCAGGCACCTTAGCAGGGGCTGGATTGGCAGTGTCACAGCTGTGAGCCGGTGCTCTGATAGCGGATGCCGCCGGCCCCCAACCCTCAGCTCTTGCAGGAGGGAGTCGTTCTAGGAGTGGGCCTGACCTGGAGTCCCTCTCTGGCTTCCTGTTTTGAGACGTGAGCTTCTCCCCCGACAGGTATTCTGCTATTGCCGCCGTCAGCCATGGGGTCACGCAGCCAAGGGGAGCCCACCAAGCTGAGCCGCGCCCCGCCAGCGCCATGCCTTTGAACTTCCAAAAACATGAGCTACCTAAACCTGTTGTGCTTGTGAAGTTAGCCTGCCTCGGGTATCCTGTAACTGTGGTGAAAGATGAACTAATAAGCATACATAGAATACTGCTCAGCAAACAAAAATAAAAACAACAAAGAACAAACTACTGCTACGTGCAACAAGATGACCAAATCTTAACCTGATGAGGAGTGAAATAAACCAGAAAAAAAAAAAGAGCAGAAAAAAAAGTCCCCTTGCCTGGAGCAGTTGGGCTTAAATTGATAAACTTTGTTCCTCTTGCGTTTTTTTTTTCTTTAAAGATTTATTTATTTATTTGAAAGTCAGAGTTACACAGAGGAGAGGCAGAGAGAGAGGTCTTCCATCCGCTGGTTTAGTCCCCAAATGGCAGCAACGGTCGCAGCTGCACCGATCTGAAGCCAGGAGCCAGGAGCTTCTTCCAGGTCTCCCACGTGGGAGCAGGGGCCCAAGGACTTGGGCCATCCTCCACTGCTTCCCAGGCCACAGCAGAGAGCTGGATCGGAAGTGGAGCAGTGGGCCTTGAACCAGCGCCCAAATGGGATGCCAGCGCTTCAGGCCTTGCGGTTTTTAGGTTGAATGGTTCTAGGCCCATTTGTGGGTCTCGTGCAGAAAACCCAATGCCCTCCATGTCTGTGCCTCAGTTATCCACTGGGAAGGCCTGGCTCAGCCACAGTTTTGCAGGCTGGGAAGTCCAAGATCAACGCCTTGGCGTCTGGAGAGGGGCTCTTGCTCGTCCTCACGGGGTGCGAGGGGGAGGGCAGAGGACCCACTCCCACAGGCCCCAGCTGCCAACACTGTTGTGCTGGGGAGACATCCAAACCATGGCACGGGCACACCCGGTTTCTTGCTCCTACACACATCTCTGCAAGGAAGATCTCTCAACATCAAATTTTGAGCACCTGACTTTTGTTTTTTTGAAGATTATTTTATTTGAAAGGCAGAGACTCAAACTTTCTCCCCCACTTCTCCCAGGCAGGTTCAGATTCAGGGTGGGTTATTTTGGTTTTGTCCCCCCTCCCCCCCATTTTTTTTTACTGGCGTTTGATCTTTGATTCTCCCCCGTAAAGCCCCCTCCCCGTCTCTCTCAATCAGCATCTTCCTCCCTGGGCTCCCTGCTGTTTCCCTCAGATGTGTTAGGCTACCCTCTGTAACCCCCAGGAAGGGGGAACGGTGTGGAGATGAAGCCCCCCCAGGCTGGAGCCTCCCGGGGAGGGGTGGGGGTGGGGGGAGATGGCAGGAGAAAGAGGGGGACGCCTCCGGCCACCCCCTTCAGCCTGCACTGAGGAGGAAGTGGGCTCCCGCCCCCTTGTCCCCCAGGACCGGGCCACTTGCTGGGTGGGGGCAGTGGGTTCCAGCTCGGCTCACACTACGAATGTAAGAACTTCAAACAAAATTTCTATTAAGTTTTGTGTCTCAAAAAAAAAAAAAAAAAAAAAGGAAAAAAAGGGGAGGGAGGGAAAGAGGGAGAGAGAGAGAGAGAGAGAGAGATCTTCCATGTGCTGGTTCACTCCCCACATGGCTGCAACAGCTGGGTCAGGCAAGTCAGGAGCCAGGAGCTTCATCTAGGTCTCCCACATGGGGGGAGGGACCCATCTACTTGGGCCATCTCCTGCTGCTTTCCCAGGCCACTGGCAGGGAGCTGGATTGGAAGTGGTGCAGCCTGGTCATGAACGGGTGCCCATATGGGATACCAGCGCTGCAGGCAGTGGCTTACCCCGCCACGCCACAATGCTGGCCCCTATGACTGTTCACATTCCCAGGGATGTTGATGAATTGGTTGGTGACAGGAACGTTCTTTCTCATGACAGCTACTATAAAGCAGTGGTCAAGGGCACAGGCTCTGAGGCCAGCAGCCCAGGTTTGATTTGCAGCTCTGCCGCTTATAGGCTGTGTGACCTTGGATGAATTATTTAATCTGCATTTGTGATGTGGGCCTGGTAGCAGTCCCGGCCTCCCAGGTCAGCCTTGTCTATCCACGGGTTCAGGGTCTGAGGATCCCACCACCCACAGAGTGGGTACCATGTGGCAAGGCCCAAAACGCTTGCCACTGTACTTTTCTTTCTTGCCATTATTCCTAAACAGTAGAGGATGGCAACTATTTATATAGCATTTGCACTGTGTTGGGTCTTGTTAGTAGTTGAGACATGATTTAAAGCACAGGGAGATGTGCGTGGGTTTTATGCAAATACTCTGCCCTTTGGTATCAGAGACTTCAGTATCACAGATGGTGGTACCCATCATCTGGGACTGGGACTGAGGATGACTTTATGGGGTCAGTGACCATTTATGGAAAGCCCTTAGGACTACCTGGCACAATCCTTCTTTCCCTCTTGTTATTATTATTATAATTATATGTCGCTCCCCGTCTTCGTGGAGGAACGACACAGGACCCTGCGCTGTTCTTTCTGTCTGCTCGGCCCTCCCCGGGTTTGCTGCTGGTTCTTCCCGGGTTGGCTACCGTCCCTTCCACCTCTGTGGAAGGGCGGTTCCCCCTGCCACTTTTCCCCACTTCCGCGGGGGAGCGGCACACCGCCGGCCGGCTCTCTCGGGGGCTGCTCAGGTGTTCCTTCAGATGTTCCTCTTAGATGTTCCCGGTGCATGCCGTCTCTCTCCTCCTTTATAGTCCTCCTCCGCCAATCCCAACTCGGCTGCCCACACGCCGAGTACGCTGCTCTCCAATCAGGAGCAAGTCCTACAGTTTATTGGTTGAACTGGAGGCAGCTGGGTAGAAGCTGTTTCCTCCTCTCCCAGCGCCATATTGTAGGAGAGCAGATGCATAGAATAAGTCTTAATTCCAGTAACTTAGTCTAGTCCGGATTGCTCCCCACATTATATAATTGCTGGATATTTTTTCTCTCTGTAAATGAAGCTTCGTGCTGGGGCTGTGTCCTGGGCCACTGAGCAGGGGCAGTGGTTGAAAGTGACTAAGTCATTTCTGACTCAGCTGCGGGTTGGCAGCTGCACCGTGGGGAAAGCTGAGCCTTGGCAAGCCCTTCTCATGCACGGAGTCTGACCCCAAAGCCCTCAACCAACAAGTGGGAGCATACTTATGGGCCTAGTGTTCAGAGTGCGGCCTCCAGGGCCATCCGTGTGCACTGGCTAGGCCTCCGTGGCGGGCTCTGGGGCTTCCCCCCTCACCACCCAGTCTGAATTGAACAGTTCCCTTAACATTTGGTTAGGTCTTCCTTTCTTTTTATACAGTTATGACTATTTATTTATTTGAGATGAGGAGAGAGCAAGAGCGAGAGTGAGAGAGACACACGCACAGGTACACACAATCAGACATAATGTGAAGGGGAGCTCATCGGCTGGTTCACTCCCCAGATGCCTGCAGTGCCTGGGGCTGGGCCAGGCTGAAGCTGGGACATGGGAATTCACCCCATGTCTCCCACAGGGCTAGTAGGGACCCCACTGCTTGAACCATCACCCTCTCTCTCCCGAGGTGTGCAGTAGCAGAAAGCTGGAATCGGAACAGGAATGGGATCAAACCCAGGCACTCTGAGAAGGGATGCAAGCCCCTGAGTGGGAATCTTAACTGCTAGGCCAGGCCCCGGATCTCCTTTTAAAACATAATTGAGGGGCCGGCACTGTGGCACAGCGGGTTAAAGCCCTGGCCTGAAGCGCCAGCATCCCATATGGGTGCTGGTTCTAGTCCCAGCTGTTCCACTTCCTATCCAGCTCTCTGCTGTGGCCTGGGAAAGCAGTAGAGGATGACCCAAGTCCTTGGGCCCCTGCACCCATGTGGGAGACCTGGAAGAAGCTCCTGGCTCCTGGCTTCGGACCAGCTCAGCTCTAGCCATTGAGGCCATTTGGGGAATGAACCAGCAAATGGAAGATCACTCTCTCTCTACCTCTCTCTGTAACTTTGACTTTCAAATAAATAAAATCTTTAAAAAAACCATAATTGACCACGCTCAGATTTCAGTTCTTTGAGTCCACCTCCTATGCTGGATTGCAGCCCCCCCAGAGGGAGCCAGCGTGGCTCCCCTGGGGCTGTATTCCCTGGCCTCTGTGCACAGTTACTCCTTTATCAGCACTGGTTTTTGTTGCTGAGTCGTGTTGAGCTTGACTTTGGGAAGTTCCTTCAGAGCTTCTAGGTGTCTGCATTGTGGCCAAGCTAATATCCTTTGGGGGTGGATGTGACTTCAGGAAAATATATATAATAATTCTAGGCCATGTTTGGTGAATGAATTGAGCAATGCCAATTCTGTCCTATAAATAAATTTACAGTTCTGGTTTTCTTGTGTGGCTCATAAACCAGATCTAACTGCTATTCCCCCAGCAACATTCCTTAAAGTATTTTTTTAGCAGGGCCTTTAGAGCAGTCGCTGGAGTCCCAAGGCCAAGGCGGACTTTGCAGTTGTGGGCGGGGCAGGTTGTCCCAGTGTGGGGCTGCAGTGCTGACATTAGCCACAAGAGGGGGGCCGTGTTCCAGACCCCACCGCCAGCGCCTCTGCAATTGCTCCAAGAACTTTAAAGACTGCTGGAGCAGCTGCACTTCACATCTCAGTCAGTACCTAGCAGAACTTCGAGTGCCTGCACAAAACATCTCCGACTGCTGCCTGAGGCTGACCGGGAGGCGAGGCACCACGGCAGGGAGTCCCAGGGCAGATCCCAACCTGGGCACGAGCTCGACCCTCGCCTCCCCTGCTTGTCTTGCAGAAGCGACCCCGGGGTCTTGCCTGGAGACAAGTCACTGGGTGCCCCTGCAGCCTCCTTCTATGACTCCGTTTGGATCTGGCTAGCCGTGGGGACAAGCTCTGAGGGGCTGCTCGGATCGCAGCGTGTACAGGCGGCCAGCTCTCCGGCCACCATGACGAACGCTGGAAACTGAGGGCACAGGTTCTACAGCCTCAGCAGGGGTCACTCAGGTGAGTCTCAGCACTGACTTCGCCCTGGCACCTACCTGGCATGGCATCCCAAGGCAGCTGGAGGAGACGGGGATGAGCTGGGTGGAGCTCTGGGTTTGTGAGTCTTTAGGTAGAGCCTGGCAGTACCTGCTCCAGGTGGGAAGGTCCCAGCTGTCTGAGCCTGCAGACGTTGGCTAGGCCCCCATCCGGCTGCTTGGGCTGGAGAGTGTGCGCCTACGATTGGGTGCCAGAGAGAAACCACTGTATCAGTGGTAACTCTACCTGCTTCGTGCCGTAGCTCCAGGAAGCCAATGATAGAATGGCCGGTCCTCCACGTGCCCACTGGCGAGGCCTCTGATGGGAGAGAGGGGGCTATTTATAGGCATCTGCACCTGTTCAGCTTTGAGTTAGGATTTAGGTGAACAGAGTACAGATAGAAGAGGGAAGGGTTTGAAAGATATGAGCTGATTCTCCCTCTGGGACTGCATGCATGGGAAAGTCTGCTTGGTTTTGATGAGTTTAAAACCAGGCACTGCGAGGAGAGGCTACAAGCCCGAGAATCCAGAGGAATCATCTTTAGAGCAGCAGTGAGGCTTGTGCCAACCCCTGGGCAGGAAGAAGCGACTGGAGTCCCTCTGATGTCCAGAGATGGGCCTGGAGAGTCAGGGTCCAGATTTCAGCTCGTGGCTGGTTCCTGACTGCCTTGCAAAGGATGCCTCACGCCCCCGACGGCGCCACACCCCCCACCTGGGAAAGGCTTGTTTCTGGGAATGACTGGGCTGGAAGGAAGCCTCAGGAACCTTGGCAGGGTCAGAAGATGCTGGGGGTGTTGGTGCCCGAGAGACTCACCCCACCTCTCAGGGGGACCTTGTTACAAGGCCCGTCTGCACGCCTGCATTATCTTGGGCGCGCACACAAGCATCCCAGAGGGGCTGGCACATGCGGACCTCCCCGTCTTAGGGATGAAGCACCTGAGGCTGAATGAGGTCAATCAACTGGGTCAAGTTCCCTGAGTAAGAAACGAGAGTCAGGGTGGGAACCCCCATCCTCTGAGCTCCCCACTCCCCAGTGCCTGCAGCGGCATCCTGGTGGTGGTGGGCGCAGGTGGGGAGGAGGGTTATGCAGTTTGATGGTTGGGGGCCTTTTCAGCTCTAAGATGCAGAATCCGGAAGTAGACCCTTGATCTCCCACTTGTCCCTGGAACACTGGGAGTGAGTCTCCCACCCGAGAGGTAGGTCAGGGGTCCCTTGCTGCGCACAGGGTGGCCTTGCTCTTTGGCTTGGAATGCTGATGCCTGACCACAGTCCCTTGTCCCCATCCCTTCCTCAGAGCCTCTCCTTGGCCCCAGGCCACTACCTGCTGGGGGGACGTGGGCTGGCCCTCTGAGGAGCAGCCCTCTCCACCGCGTGGCCTGGGACCCTGAAGGTGGCCACCGAGAGTGGCTTACACACATTTGCTGGACCAGCTGATCCCATGCCCAAGCCAGAGCTCTGGGTGGGAAGCCCCTGGCCAGCGCCTGGTCTTGCTCTGTATCTGCCAGGCCTTGCCTCTTTGGTCTTGGTTGGTTTCTCTTTAAAATGGGAATGATGGATCACCCAGGTCATCTGCCTGCCCCTTCGCCGTGCAACCTGGGGGAGGTCATAGGGAGATCCCAAAGGCAGGCCCTCTGCCCTGTGGGGTGTGTGTGCATACCAGTAGTTTATGCTATTGTCGCCACACGGGACAGTCAGCTGCTCCTTGCCTGAGAGCATGAATGTGGCCCAAAGCTGATAAGACCAACGACCTGAGGGTCCCAACCCCAGTCCCCCACCCTCCAAGAAAGACACAGAGCCTCAGACAGAACCCGAGCAGGCAGACTGGGCCTCGCTTTCCCTCCCAGGCAGCAAATATTAGAGTCGGCTGAGCACTTGCACACTCATCTCCCTCACATCTGGCTCTGCTCGGGCCCCAGCCCCTCTCCCCAGTGGGCTTCTCTGGGCTCCTGCTCAGACCAGCTGAGGGGTGTGGAGCGGGCTGAGGCGGGGCCGCCTGTGCGTGCATTCCAGTTCTGGCCCAGGAGCTGACCACAAGAGGAGGAAGATGGAAGGGAAGATGAGGCGCCACACCCCCACTCTGCAGGGACAGCACCCACACTGCTCTGCAGGTCCCCGGGCATCAGGGCTAGGGTGCTGGCTCTGGCAGGGCAGGGGTTAGCACAGGCGCTGGAGACGCTTTGCCTCCTGCTGTGCAGCTCCCCAGAAGCGAGGCCAGGCAGAGGGAGCCCACACAGAGATCATAAAATGAGGGAGGGTCCTCTGCAGCTTAACAGCCATGGAGCTGCCCAGGGCCCCACCTAGAGGCCCTCACTGGGTGGAGGGCTTGGGCGGAGGGACGGTATTAGGAGACTCGCAAACTGGATACCACTGCGGCGCAGAGAGGCTGGGGGAGGTGTCTGGGCAGGGCGGACAGATCCTGGCAGTGCTGTGGACCACCCCCTCCCGCCCCTCCCACAGGCTGGAAGGGAAGCCTGCAGAGACCCGGAACACTGTGTGTGTGTGTGTGTGTGTGTGTGGATGAGAGTACTTCCAAAAGTTCTCGTGTATTTTTGCACCAAATTAAGCTTATCCTTTAATTCCATTTTCCCATGAATGTCTTGAAATCTCCCTGTGTGTGTGTGTGTGTGTGTGCAGGGGATGTGTAGTCTTACTACTTGAGATGAAAGCAGAAGCAAGGACGGTTATGCAGTAACTGGTCCACTCTGGCTGCTTCTAGCCAGGAGAGGTGTCTGGAGATCAAGTTCAGGTTGTGAGAAGAAGGGGTGTGTGTGCTGCTCAGCTGGGCAGCACGACTCAGCTGGCCTCCTGCCAGCGCCTCCCCCTTCCCACCCTGCCTCTGAGCCCTTCAGCCAACAGGCACCGTTCCCCCACACTGCCACCTGCTAGGTGCCAGTCATCTCAGGCTGGGGTCCTGTTGGGCCCTCTGGGCTTCCCGCCTGCTTGCCCCTTACTGGGCCTGAGACCCATTCTCCTAAGGGGCTTTTAGCTTCCAAAAGATCGATTTACTAAAAAATGGATGTTTTTGGTTGAATATGCAGATAATTAAAGAGCATCAGAAATGAAGGTCAAGATAAACTCACGGCTGGCACTGAATGAAAGTAGAAAGTGATTTGTAAAATCTGTGCATGTATGTAAGAAAAAGAACGCAAAGTACTTTATGCAAATGAATACATTGGCTTTGAGAAGGGATTTTTTTCCCATGACATAGAGCATGCACTTGCATCCCAGGAAGTCCAGAGAAGCCGTACAAAATGCCCACAATCCCCTCCAGCCCAAGTCCTGCCCAGGCTCACCTTTCCCTCTGGAGCAACCTGTGGCATCTCTGAGTACAGCCTTCGCCCTCTGTTTGCACACTCCCAGGAGCGCTCTCACTGTGGTGCAGACGGGGCTGCTTCACTACCAGAGGCTCAGGTTTTGCCCGAGTCTCTGGGTCCGGTCCTGGAGCTCTGCGGGGAAGACCCGAGGATCCAGCGGGGCAGCCTCGGGGCCCCGTGCAGACTCCAGCTCTCCCCTGGAGAGGCTGCTCAGTCCCTCGGTCTGCAGGCCCTACTGGGGGCTTCCAGGGGAGACGAATCCTTGTTGCAGTCTCCCTGGGCCATGCTGGCGCACTTGGGTTTGAGAGCCGTGCTGGGCTTCTCCGCTGTGTCGGCTGGTGCCCTTGTACCCCGCTCCCCATGCCCCTTTGTGTCCAGATTCCCTCATTTTCTATCTGGAAGAGAAGGCCAGGTCTCTCTGAGAGCGCTCCCTGGTCACCTTTTGGCCCAGCTGAGTTGGCTCCCAGGCTCCTCCCCCGGTGACCACTCGGCTTAATCATGTGGGTTTGCTCTTCCCCAGTTCAGGGCTCCAAGAGTTATTGAAAGGAAGGGACAGAGCCCACCATCAGAAAGGCCCACAGGGTCTGCTCGTCGTGAGTGCTGGGGTGCCAAGGACCTGGAGGATAGCGTTGGATGCTTGTACGTGCAGAGAGGCCCCAAGATGCACGCTCAGGGACACGGGAGTGGGTGCCTTCCACCCCCACCTGTGGCTGATCCCTGTCTCCCCTCCCTCACTGCCTTCTTCCCACCTGTGCTGCTTGCAGGGCGTGATGGAGAACAAAGCCATGTACCTGCACACCGTGAGTGACCGGGACACCAGCTCCATCTTCGAGGAGCCCTTTGATGGCAGGAGCCTGTCTAAGCTAAACCTTTGTGAGGACGGTGAGTGCTTCTGACTCTGTCTTAGGGAGTGAGATCGGCCCTGGGGGTGAGGAAGGAGCACCCCTCTTCCAACCTTGCTATCACTCCGGGCCATGCTGACCTGCCCATCTAATGCCTGTGAGTGTTGAACTTCATGCTTTGCAAGGTCTTCCATGCAATTTCCCACTCATTCATCACGACAAACCTGTGTGATCAGTGAGGTGAGTGCCCATTTCACAGATAGGCTGGTTTAGTTGAGGCTGAGGACGGCACGAAGGCTCACACGGCTTGTGAGTCATGGAGAGGTCCCAGCACTGCGTGTCCTGACTGGAAGGGCGGTCAGTGAGGCTGGGGTCAGACAAGACTGTCTGAACCCATCAGCCCAGACCTCCTCCGGGGAGAAGCTTCCCGTCCTCTTCCCAAAGCATTTGCCAGGGGCGGACCCAGCTCTCCAAGGCTCTTCCCTCCCCGGGGTCCTGCCAAGAGTGGTTCCTCTCCCAGTGACCCAGAAGGCCCTGCATCTTGGGGCTGGTGCATTGCTACAACTCTGGATCCGATGGATGCAGATTTGGCCAAAGGGGCCCAGAGCACCCTGCCAGCAGCCGGGCCCTGCTGCACCCAGCACAGAGCTTGATGCCTGGCAGATGCTTGGTCAGCGCCCGCTGTGTCACAGCACAGGGGGAGAGGGTAGCATCACCTCCACGCCTAGGAGGGGCACAGTGATGCTCACAGGAGAATCTTCAAGGACTCCTGACTGAGCAGCCTAAAAAAAAAAAAAAAAAGATTTATGTATATTTGAAAGGCAGAGTTAGAGAGAGAAAGAGCACTTCCATCTATTGGCTCACTCCCCAGATGGCCACAACAGCCAGGGCTGGGCCAGGCTAAAGTCAGGAGCCTGGAATTCTATCCAGTCTCTCATGTTTGTACAGGGGCCCAAGCACTTGGGTCATCTTCTGCTGCTTTCCCAAGCACACCAGCAGGGAGCTGGATCAGAAGCAGAGCAGACAGGACTCAAAGCAGTGCTCATACGCCATGATGCCGGCCCCAAACAGAGCCTTTATTCAAGGTTTATTTTTGTTTTCCCCCTCAGCATCATATTTTGGTTTCCTCCACTCTGCCACCTGCCTCTCTCTTGAAATGACTCAAGAGAAACGGCTCCCTATTTTGCACCAGCCCTGTCTTTCCTCCCACAAGGTGCTGGGTGTAGGAAGGGAAACAGGGTGGCTCAGAAAGGGAGGGAGTGGGGACAGTCTCAGCCGGGTGACCCCCTCTGCCTAGCTCGCCCCGCCCTCCTGACCTGTCCTCCACTGGGGAGCTGGGCCTGCGCAGCGCTCCCCATCAGCACGTAAGCAAAGGTGCAGCGGCTCCACACTGCTGACCTAGCTCTGTCTCCACTGGTGCTTCAGTAAAGAGGATTGATTGATGAGAGGGACATGGGGTATGGCCCAGGGGAGCGACTGGCGATCATCAGGGCCGGCCTGGGGTGCTAGGGGGTCAGGGCTGTGGGAGATCTGGGGTGGGAGGTGGCACTGCTGCCTTTATGCCCTCGCTCCTTGGCTCATCTCACTGCTCCTGTTACTGAGCCCCTGATAAGAAGAGGTCATTTGGACCAGGACGACTGAAAAGTAACAGCAAGCCCAGCCTCTGTGCTTCCCAGACCCCTACGCCCAACTTGGGGACACCCAGCAGAGGGCAGTTTCTGTGTCCTGTGTGTGATGTCCCCCGGGCGCCTGCCCCTGATGGAGCACACACACAGCAGAGGCTGAGACCTGAGGGGCTGAGCAGGATACATCCCCTCTCTGGACCTCGGTGTTCTCATCTGCCCAATGGGGGTGCAGTGGGTGTAGCTGAGCTCCTGTCCCGTCCTGGAGTCCTCTGCATAAAAGCGGAGTGGGCATTGTGTTGAGAATGTGGCCACTGCCCTGCGCAAAGCCCAGCAAAGCTGTCACTTCCACGGGAATGGCTGCCCAGGTCTTGCGTGGGTAGCCGAGGACCCGCACTGCTCCGCGCTCCTGCTGCCGCTGGCTCTCATGCCGAATCCCACCTCCTTCCGGTCTTTCTTAAATCTTGCCCCGAGGCCTCCCAAATCTTGCCCCGAGGCCTCCCTGGCTCTGGTACCCTGAGTCCACCTTCCTCGCCTTCCTCTTCCGTTTCTCCCATATCCCTGTTCCCTCCCAACCCACGAGGCGCGTTGTCACTTCACAACCCCAGCTGGGCAGGGACCGGCGCCTGCGCATGTCCGTTGGTGTCGTGTGTGCTGTCGGCGTTTGGCGCAGCTGCTCTAGGAGTAGTTGCTGAGCGAACGAGCGAGCTCCTGAGTTTAGGCATGAACAGAGGAGTCCTCGAACCCTAAAGCCAGCGAAGTGAAGTCTGCGTCCCTATTCTGAGCTGGCGGGTGTGCGTCTGCGGGAGGAGCGCAGGCAGACCGAAGTGTTGCCATTAAACCAGTGGGCTAACAGCGCGTGGCCTTCTGGTCTCATGCCCCTCTACTCCTGTCCCTTTCACTTCTAAGAGGAAAACGGTGAGCTCTGACTTGGGACAATCCAAGCCAGATTTGAACTGTTTCCAAAGGACGTTGCTACTTCTTTCATCCTGGTCCCTGTAGAGTCCAACAGGGGGAGGGGGAGGGGCACGGGTGTGGGCAGGGGAGGGAGATGAAGGTAGAGATGGGTGAAGGAGGGCGTTGGGATCAGGGCCATCCCATGGGCCTTTAGTACATAAAATTGGTGATGTGTTAGGCTGGGGAGGAGCTCCAATTTCTCAGGGGTTTCCTCCTTGAGTGTAGGGTGAGAGGGAGGAGGAGGAGGGGACAAGAGATGTCACTTCCTCCAGTTTGAGGCTGATCCTGGGGCTATTGGCATGGGGGGGGGGTGTCAATTTGCAAAGGGTGCGGGCCAGATATTGAATTCACAATTGGGGCTCTAATGCAGGTGCTGCGGCCATGTACAAGCAGTGGCTGGCGGTACAGTGCCTTCTGACCAGTGCAGGTTTGTGGGCTGACTCCCAGGCCTGCGCCCGTTACCCCCAGTGTGAAGCTGTGGGAGCTACCTGCCCCTTTCTGCCCCGTGCCTGTGTGCCCTCCTCGGGGGCCTCGCCCATCGTCCCCACCTCACTCTGTCTCCCCTACCTGACAGCACCCATCCGGCCTCCGAAGCCGCAGTCCCCTGGGCTATCGCCTCAGAGTCCTGATCTCTAAAGTGCTCCTCCGTGGTCCTACTGGGTTGGAGGGAGCCGTGGTACTTGGATGTGGCCACGCTGCTGGGCCACGTGATCGTTCACCCTTACCATGCGGTAAAGATCCTTGACACCCAGAGGGGGCGTTGCTGTGCTTTGAATTCTCTCAGGACCTTGTTCTTGGTGGGTGCTCAGGGCAGCTTTGCTTGCTGGCGAGCGCCATGCCCAAGGCTACTCCAGCCAGGAGTGGCAGGGCTGCAGCTTGCCTACAGGTCTCCTTCCCTGTCATGCAGGCCCCCTTCCTAGGAAAGGGGTTCATCAGTGTGGAGTCCATGCCGCCCTCACCCTGGAACCAGTGAAGAGGCAGCCCAGGGGGTGGGTGGGAATTCACATACCAACTCCGCTTTTTCCCTGGCAAAGCTAAGTTCGGGGATGCAGCTTGGACCTGCAGCTCGCGGGCATGCTCCCCAGCCACTCCAAGTCCTGGAGACAAGCTCATGAGGAGACGCTCAGCCAGCCAGCCAGTGTGAGCATCTACACGCAGGCCTCGAACCCGGGCCTTTCCCTGGTTAACGGTGCCCCGGCTCCCCAACACACACACACAATCAGAAATGGAGCAAGGGCTGTTGGGTTGCAGGAGCTGACCCGTCACATGAGGTGGTGCTCGTGGGAGGCCGCGATACTGGCACACTCCTGTTTCCTGGGCGTGGGCAGAAATGACAGACTGAGAGAAGTTCCATGAGGCAAGGGAAAAGCCCCGCCTCTCTTCTATGGACACACTGCCATTACTCCTCCCCTTTATCGCTTACCAGGTGACGAGGGGAGGGGACAGAGTGTGGGACCCTTGGCTCCTCCGTCCCCTGCAGGAGAAGCCACCTTGCCCACCTCTTGCGCGTCTCAGCCCCAGATCTCCTCCCCTGCTCTGTGACGCCCACGGGTCTTTCCCCTCTTACACCCTGGACTGGGTCCCCTCTCGGCAGCCTGTCTGCTTCTTTGCATCTGAGTCTCGGTGTCAGCACCCCTCTCGGGGCCCACTGCCCACAGGAAGGTCCCAAAGGCCAGGACCTCGAGTATCCCAGGCAACAGCACCGGGTCCACCTGTGGTGCTGGACCCTCTGGGGAGGGCCGATCCCCAGTGGGAACTCCGAAGTACAGGAGCCAGCCCCGGGGACCTCAGCGGCTCCCATACAGCCTCTCTCGGCCATCTCTGCCTCGATGTCTCTTACCCGCTCCTGAACAGAAGCACAGCAGGGCAGGCTGTCGGAGTCCCTCTTTCCTCTCTCCCAGCTCCACCTTCTACCCCATTTTCACTTTCCCCTCCTCTCTCATGTTCCCTCTTCCCACCTTTGTTTCTGCCTGAATAGCTTTGAGCCTCTCCTGTCTGGCGCCAGGTGGTGGAAGAGGCAGAGGCCTGGGAGTGGGTGGTGCCTGGCCGGGCCTGGCTTCCCCAAGGCCCTTCCCAAGGGCTGGAGAGAGGTGTTAGTGTCAGAGAAACATTGCAGCCCTGCTGGCCCCGCGGCCCCAGCCCCGTCCGTGCACTTGTGGCGTCATCCGTGGCCACAAATGGGAGGCTGGCGGAGGTAATGAGTTGCACATGCCGCTGGCGGCAGCTGGACGCCTGCAGCCCGGCCGCTTGCTGGGTGAGGGGCTCCCCGTGCCTGTGTTCCTTCCCCGTAAAATGAAACGATTCTCCTAGGGGAACCCCCCCATCCACCTTCTCATCCATCAAATCTCCCTGGTTCATTTGGCGGAGCTGAGGGCTGCCGGGCAGCTGCCCAAGGATGGGAGTGGATTTCCTGGGAGGGTCTGGCTGGGGCCTCACAAGGGGTCACTGCCCTCTCTGGTTG